GGTGTAAACATTTTAATAAGCCCATTATTAGAGCCCTCAATGAGTCAGTGAGGCGCATAGGTTGAAACAGCCGCTTATAACCTGAAGGCGTAGTTTTTCACGGGATGTTGGTCTAAAACATATACAAGGCTCTCCAAAAGGCGCTCATTCTGATTAGATTTTAAAACATAGGCACAGCAAAGAATGTCAAATATAAATTTTTTAAAAAGACTGAGAGACAAAATGGTAGAAACAGATAAAGAGAAAGACAACAATGCAGAACATCTTTAAAAGTGCACCTAACCATGGGCCTGTTTGGAGAATTAATATTGGTGATACTAGTTAGCTGAATCCTCAAATTCTTTCTCTAATCTTAAATGTTTAATCCACTTCCAGAGAAAGTAAGAAGAGAAAAAAATAATTTTAAAGTGAGGATTAAAGGCAGTGTAACAAAAGAAAAAGATCAAAGAAAGAACTAAAAAAAAACCTGCTTCACCCTTACCAAGTCTCTTCTTCTCTATCTTTTCCTTCACATTCTCAAATCGTGGATCAAAACTCCCCCGACTGTCCTGCACCTTCTGCTGATAAGAAAACTTCTGTTCTAGCTCTTGAATGTTGAAAGCACTCTTGCCTCTTCCACAGAGAACGCCTCCTAAAGAGGATTTAATGGACGTATCTTTTACACCAGGGCTTGGCAAGCTGTCCCAAGAAAGGTCTTGAATGGACTGCACAAGGTTCTGAGCAATCGAATCCAGCTTGCTCAAAGTTTGAAACTGTACAGAAAGAGTTAGTCGATAACATAAATTTTAAATTAAAATGAAGACCCTTACTGAAACATTCACATATACAATATGAGCATCAATACCTTAAAGACAAACGTCATAATATGAAGGAGCAAATAGCCTTTATCTGAGCTCATATCTTAGAATCACAAAATATAGCGCAGTGATTTTAAATGTGCAGTGTGCAAATTAAAACCCAATCTCATCAAGTACTTTTAATGACTAAATGGAAGGATGCATGTCACATTCCATCATATTATATCACTGTCTGTCATCTTCCCCACGACTACAGGCAAGTGGGATGATAAGCCTTAAGGACAAATCCCATCTCTAAATGCCTCAGCTAATGATACCAGACTTACATCTTCAAAAAGTCTCGTCAATGTAGATATCGAAGTCAAGCTCCCTAGTCCACCAAAGGCATCCTTTAGAGGGTCAATAATATGCTCATACTGTGGATGAAATAATGTTATAGGCTCCATGGCTTAGAAGTAAAGTTGGGTCGGGCTCGCAAAATTAGCGCCCGCGGGTAACGAACTACCCGCTGGCACTACCCGCAAACGAGCGGACGGGTAACGAACCGTCCGTTTATGAAGAGTAGTTCGCTACTCGCTACACATCGTGCAGAGACAACAGTTTGTTTAGCGGGCGAGCGGACTGGCGGACCGAGAGACTCCATGCATTCGAACTGGCAGACGGACGGACGGGAACGACCCCTTCCATTGCCTACAACTTACAACCCCCCCCCCCAAAATAATTAATTAAAAAAATCACCCTCCTGCCTCACATTGTAGCTAGGCGTTCACGGCGGAAATTTTCGCCCCCCCCCCGCCTTTGCGATCTAATTAACAAACAATAGACGCTGGGTCTAATCTCGCGTCGAGTATCTCATCTGCTAGAGTTCATCCGTTCGCCCGCCCGCCCAGTGAATAAAATTGTGGAGCGGACCCAAAAAACGAACTGACTTGAGGCTTGAGGTCCGCAGTCCGCTCCCTGAGAGAGTCAAATTGTGGAGTGGACCCAAAAAACGAACTGTCTTGAGGTTCGCAGTTCGCTCTCATGGCCGTCCGTTACCCGTTCGCTCTGACTGAGTCCGCGAGTAACGAACCCGTCCGTCCGCTCGCCCCAACTCTAAGTGAGGGGGTGTGTGCAGAAAGACAAAGAGGAGACGAAAGACGACAGAAAATTGCTAGAGCAGGAAATGAGGTGAAAGGAGACAATTTTAGAGAAGAAAATTTTTCGGTCGCTACCGGATTCGAACCCGAGACTTTTGAATGAGAGGCCAACACCTTAACCTCTAGGCCACAAGAGCCACTGATAATTATTCAGAGGCTGGAGTGGTGAAGCAAAGCGTACTAAAAAGACAAACACCCCTCCCTCCTCCCAATCAAGATGGGCACAAATCCAAGAATGACTAGTGTATCTGCTGAGGAGAATATTTTGTAAAGAAAAATAGAAGAAAGAAGAAGTAGGGATGTAACAATTAAGATATGCTGCTTTTGCTTTCGCATTGAGGCCAAATCTGGTACAGAAAAATGTGCCACATTTCAAGCATTCAAAAGTTCTATCTCCATCTAGCATAGCTGCCACTCAGAAATTTTTAAAAAGGAGGAAATTCACGCGAAAGCGTACGCGCGCTCTCCGAAACCAGTGAGATCCAGAGGCAATATATACTGGAAAATGTTTTGGAAGGGAAAACTGTCATATTGTTAACCATAGGCAACTGAATTAAAATGTATTTGAAAAAACCCCCATAAAGGCAGTAGGTTGACTAACAAGCATTCGAGTCAATTTGACACAGTTTGGACTTGGTGACTAAAAATCCAGTGTTTTTTGCCAGCTGGTGTCTCATAAAAAGATTTCTTTCACTTTAAACGTGTACATACATAGACGTAGAGCAGTATCGGATCAAGGATACACAGGCACTCCTGTACAATTGCGGTCCCGTTTGCACTTAGTGCCCCTGTAGTGTGTTTCTTATTTAGAGATAAACTGAATAAAAATTATAGCCTAGGCTATCTAATCTAGATCTAGATATATCTAAATATGTGTAGATCTAGATTATATCTAGAGATAGATTTTCTAGATCTAAATCTAGATCTAGATTCACTTCCGCAGCAGCCACAATAGCCGTCATGTAAACAAACGGGACCGCAATTGTACAGGACTGTAACAGGAGTGCCGCGGGCCGCGATTTCTTTCGAAAAAAACAGCTAGTTCAATTTTCTAATGAACTTTTCAAGTCGCACACCGGCTGCTTCTTTCTCATTCCAGCTCCTTTTATTTTTGCATTCTGAATCAATTTCTCTCGAATTTCCGCCAATTTCAATGACAACTCGGCGCGCTAACGTCCCGATGCCCGATCGACACTGTGTTGCTCCACAACAATAAACAATGTGAAACTAGCGCTGGGCCTAGAAGAACGGAAGTAGAAAGCTACGGGCGGACATGCGCAGACCGCGTTTTCGTCTCTCTCCCGGTTCGGTGTTTTCCGCGTGGAAAAAAAAGTATGAAATTTGCGACCAAGAGCGGTCCAGCGGAGGAAGGAGGAAAGTTGCGGGGAATGCTAGATGTAGCGGAGTTTCCGCTATTTAGCGGGAAAGCGGCAGCTATGATCTAGACCAAATAAGGTAGGACACATTAAATATTGTCAGTAGGTAGGAAATTTTGAATTTTGCCCGCGTGGTGGCCTACTCTTATTGATTTTGGACAACCAAGGGATCTTTAACATGCACAACTTGTATACGGGATCTCAGGTTTTTCGCCCTTATTCAAGAAGGCTAAGTGTAGATCTTACCAACCATAAGATCAGGGGTGTGGCTGAAAGACAGTGGTAAGGAGCCAAGGAGAAGCAGTAGAAAAGGCTGCAGAAAGAGTCAGGAGCCCAGAGGAAGGGGCAAAGGATGCGAGGGGGTAGGGGCAGAAAGTGGAGACAAAAGCAGACGACAGAACATTGCAAGAGAGCAGGAAAGTAGGTGAAAGGAGACAATTTTAGAGAAAATTTTTTTTCTGTCACTGCCCGGATTCAAACCCGGGACCTTTGAATGAGAGGCGAACACCTTAACCTCTAGGCCACGAGAGCCCCCCCCCCCCCCCAGTAAGGTCTGATGTGGTGGAAAAAATCCTCTGCATATGTATTCCAAAACTCACCAAATCCGAACTGTAGCCCAGCCAGCAGGCCCTGTATGGTGGCCGACATTCCTGGAGGAGCGATGATGCTGGCGTAGGAGGAAGCAGCAGCGTACATGAGGGCCACAGTGACTCCGTGAGTGGGCTCCACCAGCAGCACCAGCCAGGGGTTGGAGAGAACGGAGTAGACCAGCAGGCGCACGGCATAGCACAGCAGGGCCAGGTACAAGCAGGACACCAGGCCGATTTTCTCGATGATCATCCCAGCTACCCACAACATGGGCAGCTGTTCATGGAGGGAAAGAACAGAGAAAGGATAATGAAGTGGGCATGAGGAAAAGAGAAAAGAAAAGAAAATTTGATTGGGTTTCCTTTTTGTTCGTTTTAGTAAACTGTAAATACCTGAGTGACCAGCAATCCTGAGGCTGCAGGACAATAAAAGTCAACAACTCTCTCGATAAAAAGCATACACATCACCACTACAATTTGAATGATTTTAATTGTATGAACATGAGTCTAGCAAACAAGCATTTTTTCTTCTACTGACAGGTTGTGAAAATTGGAGAATGTGGATTAGATACAGAAAGTCAGACAGGTTAGTTTGTAAGTCAAGTATTCTCCTATCTAGCTTGTCCAAACAGAAGCGCCACTGGGAGACGGAATATACAGGTCAGTGGTCACTTAGGTGTTAGTTACTGACTGAGCACAGACTGCACGCTTAGAATTACTGTCAGAGCACACACTGCACATTTAGAACTGTTGGAAAACAGACTGCATATTTAGAATTGTGAGAGTAAAAACTGCACCCTTAGAACTGTTGGAATACAGACTGCATCCTTAGAACTGTTGGAATACAGACAGCACATTTAGAACAGTCGGAGAACAGACTGCATACTTAAAACTGTCAAGAGTACAAACTGCACGTTTAGAAGTGCTGGAGAACAAACCGCACCCTTAGAACTTTTGGAAGACAGACTGAACACTTAGAACTGTTGGAGTAGACTCCACACTCAGAACTGTCAAGACTACAGGCTCCACACTTTGAATTATGTTCAACAAAAAGATCTAAAATAGAGGTCAACTTTGTGTGGAACTTTAACTAGAATTAAACTTTGAAATTCAGCTACAACATTTACATAATAATTTGGTCTCTAAAATGTCAGAAAGATAAACTCACCTCTGAGCAGCAGTTGACCACCAGGATAAAGCCAAAGACCAACTTTGGACTTCCCAGACTTAAGAGATACCAGAACAGGAAAGCCTCCAGTCCACCCAGCAGCATACCAAAGAACATGACTACAGTAAGGAAAGCTAGGACTTCTGCATGGCTCAACAAATTGCGCACATTTTTTAAAAACTGGCCACATCTGGAAATAAATAATATCAATTTAAGTACAACTGTTGAAGGAAATATATTTCATATATCAATCAAATGAAAGTGCAGATCTATGATATATAGGTAAATGAACAAAAAGCATGCCAAACATAATATTATATCAATTGAAAATGAATTGTTCAAGGAAAGAATTTCAAATTCCTTTAAATATAAAGTTATTTTTCATCAGAAATAAACAATATGCTTAAAATATATGTAATATCAATCGAAACAGAACTGTAGAAGAAAAAGATTAAGACTTCACACACAATGGTCTCCGCCTCAGAACCTAACCATTGGCAGACAAAAAAAGTGGGTTTTAGGCAGAGCAGGTTTTTAGTTTTTTTTAAGGGGCACAACTCACTCAGGCCCTGCCAGTTTGCTTCCCTTATTTATTATTTTGATCAAATATGGCCCATAAGCAACGCCCAAGGGAAGATAGAGTAGAGGTAAAGGTCATTTTGTCAAGTTTTTTGTTTTCTACAAGACTAATGTGTACCCTTGTTTGTGAGTATTGCGTGTTACCGGTGCAAGTGAGAACAGGTGACTTCCGGCTCAGGCTTCTCAGTGAACTTATAAGATGCCACATGGTCACTGTGGTTGAAGCTATGAAAAAGAACCAGCTGCAATGCTGTACAAGAGAAGGGAAAGAATGACCAGTGAAGAGGCCAACTTTTACAAAGATGAACATAATCAGAAGCTCTGACTTCACAACAGGAACAAGTTATGGAATTCATGAACTACAGTGGAGTCAGCTTAAACCAAAATCTGCTGGACTGACGCATTATTTTGGTTTATAGCTGTGTTTTCGGTTTAGAGAGATTGCTAAAACAGCGGAGATAAAAAAAATCAGGGATTCGATTTTTTTTCCCGGTTCATCGCTGCTTTCAGATTAATCATCTTACGTATAAGTAAGTGGACTCCACTGTAATTGAAAACCAATTGAGCAACTGTCCCGCTCAACAGAGCTCATTTGCATGACTACCAAAACTTTCTGTGTAAATAGGCATGCAACTTGTAGGTCTCAGCGTCTGCTAGTTCGTCATGCCTCCCCCACTCCCTTTTCCTCTGCCCCTACTTTCCACCTGTTTCTCCTTCATGTATTTGGCTGCGTCATTCAACAAGACAACGCCTTTGAAAGTTGGCACTGCCGCTTGAAACAAAATAGACAGAAGGAATGAGACTGCTCACTTCTTCCCTCCTACAAACAAACACCAATTGTTTTTTTAAAAATTGTTATGAAATTAGTAACACCAAACTTTGTGTACTGGTCTGGTCTTGGAGAGGGCCTGTTTGCTCGTGTTAAGTATGGCAAAGGACACTTAGAAAAGTTTATTGCCCAAACAAGTTTTTTAAGCAGATTTCAATTTCTACTACAGGTTCTTAGGCATGCAAATTATAGAGAACAAAATTTCATTGCACACTAAAACAGTCTGGGTTCTCACACAGTCTTCTAAGGTGGAGACCACTGTACCTGTATCAAGTTGGTAAATTTATCAGGAACAAGCAAAGCGAGCTAGAGAGATAAAAATTAAAAAAGAAGTGTTGGAGGAAAGAGAATTCACATGTGTGGTGTACAAATTTATCAACAATTTTTATTAAAAAGTAATGCATGTTAACAAAATGGTTATGTTAGAAGCTGAGGAGGCCACCAGTTTGAAAACATACATTTAATAACATAAATCTACCTTTCATACTATTTGAACTCAAATAGAATCCCAAAATTAATTAACCCTTATTATTCATACTGTTGAACAATTTCATACAAAACCTGAGAAAGCCTAACACTATTATTCATTAAAATAACAAAACTCACATGATATCAGAAGACATCTCTAGAAATCCAGCGACGATAGCTGATAAGACACAGAGAGGCAGGAATAAGTAAAACAGCACAGAGTATTCGCTGTCCTGGTCACCCTGCATGTGCAAGATGAAAGTCGCGGAAACAGCCCATATGGCAAATCCTAAGGTGCCCCACGCTCTCTGTTTCCCCCACAAATGTCTTTTCTCCTCGCCCAGAATGTCATATGCAGCAGCGTCCATAATAGGGAAAATAGGTGCAAAAACAATATTGGCCATCAAAAAGATGAAGAAAATCGCTATGAAAGTTCTGTCAAATGATGCCCTCTTTTGATTGCATTGAAAAGTCTCTGAACACGTGACCTCACACTCAAAAGACATTTCTCGGTCACAAAGAATTCGTCGACCTTCATGTGTAGAGTTGTTTATCGACGAGATATTTCTTAGGTCATAATCACGGCAGGAGTCAGAGCCGTTCAGGTATCTATCTGGGGCAACGAGTGAATGGATGTCATTGACAGTAAAATTCAAATGGCTACTGAAGGTGAGCTTCTCACTGCAGCGACGGCTGCCATTGTGAGGTCCTGTATCATTGAAGCAAGCCGTGAACAGTGACTTTGACAGATCAGCTCCAGTTCTACACCACAGCGAACATGAGATGGATTCATTCTCCCTGTCCGAGATGGACGAGTTCAAGAAATTCAGTCCTGCTTGGCACGAGTCCTGGGAGCGGCCATCATCGCAGTCATGAAGAAACGAATCTTGGGAGTTACAGTGCAGTGTCGTGCTGATGGAAACACTGGGTACAGCAGGACGGAAAGGAACAAACAGTAGCAGAAAGTAGAAGACACCTGAGAGAAGGAGGGAAAAAAAACCAACACCATAACTAAAACTAAAACTTTTTTTAGTCAACCATTTATATACTACATTGCCCTAACTCTAAGGACCTTCAATTGCTTCTACATACTGTTGTAATGGAAAGTGAATGTATAGGATTATTATTGAATGTAAACAAAACAGATGCATGGTAATACAAAAAAAAAAAGCAGCAGCAAATCCTATTTGTAATCTCATAATAAGCAAAAGTGAAAAGATCAAACAAGTCTAACAGTTTGAATATTATATCTAGGATTATATTAAATAACATCTGATGCCAAATGTTCCACAGAAATAAAACGAAGAATAAAAATGGCAAAGGCTAGTTTCAATAAAATGAGCCCAATCCGGAAAATTAGAAACATTTCAAAGACTATCAAAATGAAAGTTCTGAAATGCTATGTATGGTCAACCCTTCTATATGGCTGCGAATGTTGGACAATCACTAAAGACAGTGAAAATAAATCAAATGAGCTAGTACTTGATAACTTGATGAAGCCCACGTGGGACGCTCACTGTTAAAAACAACCAGGAAACGACAAATGCAATGAATAGACATAAAAGTCTTCAACATCTAGCTTTCACTAGCAAAATTGAAGGCAAACGAGGCAGGGGTAGGGCCAGAGCAACCTACTTAGAGAACCTAAACAAATGGGTAACGGGGAAAGATCAGGGTAATGTAGCTTTTTAAGAGCATCCGAGCAAAGGAAAGAATGGAGAACCATGATTTCCGATGTCTGCCGCAGATCTGGCACTTGATGATGGTGATGATTGTCCTAAGCCCGTTAATAAATGTCAAACAATTTTCACAACACATTACAAAATTTGGACACTTCCGCATAGGTATCTGCTGGTAAAGTGTGCAAATATAAAGTACGATTGTTTCGCAAGAAAATTAAATTTTATTTCTTAAATGAAAAAAGGTAAGAAAAAACAGCATGATAATCTATTGTAATTTGGGGTAGGGGTATGAACTTTTGTCAACAAACCTGTAAAAATGGTCGCCAAAATCAGAACAGCTTTGTGTTTCTTTAGTTTATCAGCCACAGCTCCTATGATGGGTCGCATGAAGAACCCGACAAAGGGCATGACCCCATAAATGATGCCTGTCTCTTTAGGTGACAATCCTAATGCACGCATGTGCAGGGCAATGAAGGGCAGCAAATCTCCTACAGCTGTGAAAAATGAAAATAAAACTGAATTGAATAACACTAACAAACCTTAGCTCAAAAAGAATTTGTGGCACAACATGCAATGAGCAACTGTGAATCGATTTCTAATTGTTGATTATTTAATTTCTTCTAGTTCTAGAGCAAAAAGTACATTCCGATAAGTAAGATATACCTTCATTTAAGAGGGTGGTGGCAAGGTTTACAAAGAAACTGTTTTAAAATTCAGTAAGAGAAACTAAGAAGAGCCAGGAAAATATTCAAGCCAATATATCTAATCTATAGAGGAGATTACCCCTCCAGCATTACTCACCCCCCCCCCCCCAAAATAACCCAAAAAATAAAAAAAAAAGAATAGAGGAAGCAGGCACTATGCAATACAGATAATCCCCTCCTGAGATCTACCGTCTATTGCCCCAGCAATGACACAAATGTACATTTTCACCATCAACCTAATTTTTTGTGTCTGCTTTTGACTTGGATGGAAGAGGTGAAGACACTACCACACAAATATATTAAAATTTTTTAATCAAATTGTCATTAGATTTTTCTTTTCACAAATACTCCAGGCCTGATATGCACCATTACTGGAGCATGGCTTAAAATCAAATGATTGCAGTATATATGTGCTACAGATTTCAGCTTTAGTGAACTGCAGTAAAATAAAAATGGTGACAGTTTACCTGACATAATCATGAAGTAGTAGCTCTTGACAGGCAACAGTTTTTTATTTATTGTACATGCGGATGTTGTTGCAGTGGGTGGAGACTGCCCACGAGGAGATGGGGTCCGTTGAGGATGATACTCCTCAGCAGGAGTTCCGTTCTCAGCCATTGTCACAGAGAATTATCTCTGTTCCAGCATCCCTTCACACTAAAAAAAAGCACTTGTAGTGCTGCTCCTGCAAAATGGAAAAAGAATGTCATAATAATACAGAGGCAGGTAAAAAGTCAGAAAGCAATTACACTTAAAGTTGTATTTCTACAATCTGGAAAAAGCCGGTTATTTTGTTACATTTTATATATCATTTATATATAGTCGAACCTGTGTAAGACGGCCACCCATTGTCAAGGAGAAAAGTGGCCGTATAAGACAGGTGGCCATCTTAGGTAGGACCGATCAAGATGAAGAAAACAAACCCCATTCCCAATCGAAAGTAGCCGCATTGCTGTTTTTGTTGGTGGTTTGTATTTTGTTAGTTATTTTTATGGCCGTCATTATTCGGACTCGAGTCCGAAAAACATTTTTTCATATTCGGACGCCAGTCCGAATAAAAAATTTCATATTCGGAGAAAAAATGTTATTCGGACACGGGTCCGGAAAAAAGAAAGTGTCTTCGTTCTATAGATATCTAACGTTCAGTGCTTCCAATTTTCCGCCATTTTTTAGTTTCCCCCACACCTTGTCTGCTGATCCGATGCCCGCCGCCTCATTGATACGCCCCCCCCCCCCAACCCCCCATGTTTCCCACTTTCTTTGTTGTAGAAAAATGTAAAATTGAAGATTAGCAGATCTCCTGGCACCTGCATATTATGAGCTGTGTAAAAAAAAAAAACCAATTCGTTAAAATACACAAGCCTGTGTCGTCTCGATTGTTTACCAAGAAAAAGTTGTATGCTGTGTAGAGCCGAGCATACGGCAACTTTTGATTCCAAAGACCAGCGCACAATTCATTACGTAGATCTACGTCAAGACTAGCTTATTTATTGTAATAATGATCAGTTGCCGGGGGTGGGGGGGGGGGGACTGACGCATATGCGACGTTCAACGCCCAGACCGATAGCGCCCCCCCCCCTCCTTCCCCGACACGCACACACAGCCGCACGTGTGCAGGCCGCCCATCCGACCCCAACACACGCTAACGAGCCATCTTTAATTGTTTCTGAAGACCTCTTGACAAATAAACATTTATTAGAAGCGCTCTAACTTTTCAGGCCGGCCTCAAATTCATCATAAGATAAAAACTCGGCTCCGGCACAATTTAACGCCATTTTGCCCGAAATGATCCAGGTCTCTACCCAGCCTGAGGCGAGTCACGAGTGAGGCAGGACAGGAAGCAGGAGTCACGAGTCACAGGAAGTTGGAAGTGATGTCATGCTGGACAAGAATCAGAGTCCGAATAACATTTTTTCACATTTGGACTCGAGTCCAAATAGTCACTTCGTATTTTTATTTTGTGGCTGATTTTGTGCCAGGGTGACAATAAAACGATAGGCCACCTCTATTCTCACCTGGAGTGAGAATAGTGCAGGCGAGTCTTGTGGCTATTCTCACCCGGTGCGCGTTCACCAAATTTTGCGTTCACCCTAAACCACAGAATTCTACACTGTGATAACAGAAAAATTGTAGAATTCTGTGCCGTGAACAAACGTTCCATTACAACTGTAGCCTACTAAAAGCGTACAATTTTGTCTGTGGGCAATGGAGAGAGAGAGAGAAAGAGAGAGAGGAGTAGCCCGAGAATTTCCGGGCAAAACAAAATGGCGACCCGCGTAGTTCGGCTCGATTCGAAAAGTTAAATAGCCGTAGCATCTTTGTAGACAACCAAATTAATTTCGTATATTACCCCTTCAACCTGCAAATTACCCCCTTAAAGTTTTGGTGGTGCGTGAGCTTTACTCTTTAAAATTTCGATTCGGGGGTTTGCATACGCTTTAAAACTCCGGTAGTGTGCGTCTTGCAATCATCATTTCCCCCCTTCTCTACCCCGAAGCCGAGTCAATGATTTAACTACACACCCACACACATAACACCGCAGTCACCTTTTATCTGGGACTCTGTGTCAGAAGCAGAAGACCTAGAATCTACTCATCAGCTGCGCGCAGTTCCCGGCGACACCGGCTTGCTTGAGCACAGAAGCTCCGCCCACATTGTGGTCGCTCGCATTATATTTGCCGGTGTCGTGCCTTGAGTTTACCCTTGTCGTGAGATTACCCCCCATCCTAGATCTAGTAAACTTGAATTGTCCACCATCGAACGACTGGGATGGCTCTGAAGAATAAGGAATTAGTTATTTTCCAATCCTGCCACTCATCCCGATGTTTTCGGGATATCCAGATTTTTTTACCTAAATTTCCAAGCATCTCGATTTTCCCAATGTTGACCCGTGTATTCGGATTTTGAATTTTTTTTTTTGGTTCCGTCTGTTGTGCCGGATCTTTTGTAAAATCTTACTCTGCCTTCTTTTCTGTCGTGGGAAGCACTCGTTAAACTTTTTGTCAGTAGAAACTCGAAGCACTATTTTCCTAAATGTCTATGTTGAATCTAGTTGTTGTGTTGGATCTTTGCACGTCAGTGTTGTTTCAAGAAACATAATATAATGGAAGTAGTATTGGTTGGGATATTCTCAAGACCTAGGCCCTAAATCATAATCATTTTCGCTTTTATTTTTGTTTCAACTCAGAATTCTCCGATGATGGCCTGACTGATAGCTGTTTAGTTTAAATTGCGACGCACAAATGATCAATATTATTCGTAGTTCTGCTATTACTTTCAAAACAAGCTTTATCCGAGTTCTGGTTAGCCGGGCTCGTCATCAAGACCCGTCAGTAAAACTCTTTCAATCGCGCTTTCGCACCACGTGACATGTCTCCGACCAAAGTGAGTTCCGCGTGTATTGTGGACCGTCCGTTTACGGGGTCAATTTAAGTTCATGCACACCGGCTGAAGCGTCTTTTGGGACTTATCTGGGGGGGGGGGGGGGGTGTAAAACACTTAAACTAGGACAGCTTGACGTGATACTTCGAGATTTAAAAAAAATAATGGTAAAACACACACAGGCACGGGTATGCACACGCACACACTCACCCCCCCCCACACACACGTATACAAACACATACACATCCCTGGAAATTGTTTAAGTCAGTTTGGCAGTGACGTTGGTGATTTGTCGTTGATCCCGATTTTTTTCCCCCACTGAGATCCTGACTTTTAGTTTTTTAAAGTTTTAGTAGAGGTTTTACGGCGCTCACAACTGCATAAGGTCATATGAGCGCCGAGGGGTGGATGTCAACAGAGAAGTCCTTACAGGGAATCAGACTTACTCTGCTCTCCTCTCTAGCTTCAACAGCACAAAGTCTGCTTTGACTATCAAGGCACCCCGGAAATAGCGGGTCACAACAGTGTGACAAACATACAAAAGAAGTAGAGGGAAATGACGATAATAAGGATTAGGAAAGAAAAGGCAGCACAGTAATGAGTATGACATTGTTAGATCAGCCCATTTACAATTCTACTGAGCACTAGCACGAGAAATGTCCCCCCTTTGGGAATGACCTAAAGACACTTCAGTCAGTGGCACTGCCCTGGGGGGGTTGATCCTGACTTTTAGATTTCATTGATTGGCAGGTCTGATTTTCTTTGTGCATTACAGTTGGAATTGACCCCTTTTGGTTTGTCAAATTTATTTTATTTTTGATTGGCTCAACCACCACCACCCTTCCACCCTCCAAATGGACACAACTCTAAGTGTAGTCAATATTACTCATTTATTTCTTGTTGTTACTAAGAAACCTTAAGTTAATTAAAAAATTGTTAGCATTCAATAAGCATAGTAATGGTCACTATATGTGTGTCTTAGTTTAGTTTAGTACAGGGTTTTACGGCGCTGGCAACTGCATAAGGTCATATGAGCGGGCGAAACACAAGTTGGTAGCATATTCGCAACAGTTCACTGCACGGTTGGTCGACAATTCGATTTTAAAATGTTAAAATACTAACATTCAGTGTAAATATATTTGCGATTTAAAACAACTCTTATAAATAACTATAAAAATTTTGTGTCTGTGTGTATGTGCGTGCGTGTGAGTTAAATGTTTACATGCAAAAATTCTTATACTATAAAATTAGGAAATGATTGACTTTTACCCTTTAAGTTTTAAGTTTCTAAAACAAGGGTTTAAATACCCCTTAAAAGATAGAAAACCAAAGGGTGAAAGAACCTCTTAAGTTTGTCTGAAAAGGGGAGCCCTGTTTACTTTTGTGTTTTAACATCATTTTTTAACTTTGTTTTGGTCAATTTGATCGTCCACACCGATAGACAGTATTCAGAAAGAGACAGAGAGAGAGAGAAGAGGGGAGGAGTTGATCTTGCGAGAACTTCCGGGCGGGTGAGAATAGCCACTTTCAAAACGAAATGTGTCAGACTGGGAGGATCGAGTGCTCTATGGTAAAACAATCACACAGGTCGCCACCACTTGGAGAGCGAGCGACGCTTCTGTCACAAGTTCATGTTGAGTCCGAATAGCCACTTCGTCAAGAAATAAGAGAAGGAAGAGGCTAGCCGTACTTAAGTACGGCTAGACTGGCAGTCTAGCCGTACTTTTATTCATCTTAATATGATGGCTAGGGCTAGACTGACCATTTACAAAAAATAGGCCTACTGAATTGTAAATATACATTTTTAGTGTGCAGTACCTAAAGCATTTGTATTTGAGACGAAACCAGGTGCCTTAATGACAGTGTATGTTATTTTAAACCTCCTGTTTTCTAATGTTAAATTAAAAACAAGCCCAGCCTAAGATAAGTACGGCTAGACTGGCAGTCTAGCCGTACTTAAATACGGGTAGACAGCCAGGCTAGCCGTACTTAAGGATGGCTAGACTGTCAGGCTAGCCGTACTTAATATTGATGGCTGAATTGTAAATGAAATTTTTAGTTTGCAATGCCAAAAGTATTTGTATTTCAGACAAAAACAAAATTAAAAAAAAGGTGCCTTACTGACTACAGACAGTGACTTGCATTATTTGAACCTGAATAATTACTAGATCTAGATATATTAATATTAGATCTAATGAGACCTATGTACTTAACAGGCTTGAGTCGATTGGGCCAAACCTAATCTAGTTCTAGATTTCTAGATCTAAGTACGGCTAGACTGGCAGTCTAGCCGTGTACTTAAGTTTAAGTACGGCTAGACTCTCACCACGGCCACGGCTAGCCACTTCGATAAGAGAAAAAGCTTCGGGTAGAACAACAATATTTTATGGAAACGATGGCTAGCCTACTAGATTAGATCTAGATTTCTAGTACTGGCGTTTCAAACAGCATGGGAGCTATTCAGAACGCAGCGTTTCAAATAGAATAGCACGGGAGCTCGAGAATCTAGGCTATTCAGAACACAGCGTTGCAAACATAGCGGATAGCGCCTGCCAAAATAAGTCTCTGAGTTATTTAACTGATTTTAAAATCCGCACGAGTAAAATTCTAGTTCGTAGATTACACATTACCTTTTAATGGAAATTTTATCGTGGTTTCATTAACTCTTTCACCACAGCATGGCAACCGGCATCAAAACGAAAAAAAGTATTATTTTGTAAAATGTGTTGCAAATACCGCCATATTGATTGTAATTATTTGTGCCAGAGTTTCTCGCCCTTGGGTGGGTCGGTAGACAAGGCCTAGGCCTAAGTCCAATTACCAGAACTATTGAGATACAAAATTTAGTTTCACAACAAGTACATAGGCCTAATAATAATCGTAATGGCTCGAATAATAATATCGTAGCCTAGGCCAGCATTGCCTTCCTAGATCTAGATCTAGATCTATATCTAGGTCTAGATTCTAGATCTAGATCTACGAAGCCCAACTTTTGGAAAAATAGTTTTAACTTATTTTGTCTCAGACAAAAAAATTATTCCATTAGTTTAAAAAAAAACTATTTGGGGCCTTCTTTTATAGGCTAGACTAGATTCTACTTGTTATAGGCCTAGAAATCTAGATCAAAATCTAGTATCAAGGCTAGGCCTAGTGGCATGATGGGTGACAAGTTTTAAACGCCATAGGCCTAGACGCCTATCATGAGTGGATGTTTCGGTATTTATGTGGTTGGTTGTGTGTTGGTCAGTCGTCAGTCAGTCAATGTACTGTGTGTGTTTGTTGCTGTTGCTGTGTTGTTGTATTATTGACCAACACCATCGCCTTGTTTATTTGGGGTTTATTTGAGTGTTGTTTTGTTTGTTTGTTTTTGTAGATTTTTGATCAAGGTATCGCCACAGCTGATCTCGTCTTAGACACACATCAGGTTGGTCAGTTGTCTATTCAAATGACGCATTCATTGAATATTGAATGTGAATTGGCATTGGGGACAAGATTTTTATGATGATGTGTGAGTGTGTGTATGTATAGAGTATAGAAGTGCATACATTTTAAAAGCTCGATAAATTAAAAGTTGCTGTAACCATTCGGTATGATCTACAATCTACATTTTTAAAGATCTAATCTAGTTAGAGTAGAGTGCAAGTTAGGCCCACTACTTACTTACGGACAGTAGGTCTACTTTAAGTAGATTCTACTGTCAGCTGGCTAGGAGGTAGGCTATGGTTTTGTTTTATAATTTCTTGATGAATCTCAGGTGGACTTTCTAAACCAATTAAAATCAAAAGTAGAAATCAAGACCAAGATAGATCTTGTCTCCATCAGACTCATCACCGGAACAATACAATCAGTATGGATACCTTGCGGGCTTTGGTGCTGGGGGGAACTGAGCACTTATATGGACCTGTTCGGTGTGCAATGAGGTTGTCATTGTTGCCCAGGACAGGTTAATACAGACTCATCAGATGACTTTTTGGATGGTAACAACTAGAATCTGGGAGATTGATCTGAGCGACCACAAAGAAACGGAGTAGAATAGAGGGTTAGGGACTCTCTTCTGGAGAAGTGGTCCAGGCCACACAATCACAATCACAATGCCCTTACAGCCAGAATGGCTTTTTTGCGCATGCGTTACTCGTCCGCGTTTCCGGTGAAATGCCAAACCGCATGTTTAGTTCCGTTTTCACTTCTGCAGCCATGTATTTACCTTCGCTTTTTCGCTTTCACAGCAGTAGCATCACAGTTACCTCCGCCGACTCCTTTGTTGACGTCATGGCGCACAGACATCTGTCCCTCTCTCTCTCTCTCTCTCTCTCCCTCTCTCTCCCTCTCTCTCCCTCTCTCTCTCTCTCTTTCTCTCTCTTTCTCTCTCTCTCTCTCTCTCTCTCTCTCTCTCTCTCTCTCTCTCTCTCTCTCCCCCCACCCCTCCCTTTCTCCCAAGGTAGGGGTTACAAATGAAAAAATCCCCGTTTAGTAAAATGTATACTACTAAATTCTACTTCTTCTCCTTCCTCAGATTCTCCTTCTAATTTTTCATCTTTTTCTTCTTGTTCTCCTCCTCCTCCTCCTCTTCCTCATATATGCTCTTCCTGCTTCTGCTTCTTCTTCTTCTATGAGCGCTCCAAACCCGCTGTGAGAAAATGGTCAAAGGCGTGAGACCGAAACCAGGATTTCCTAGAGTACCGTAAGCCTACGGTACTTAATGTATTCATGGGTCAAAGCTTCAATCAGCCGTAGCCCTCTTTACGCCCACTGTGTAGTCGCATGTCGATTAAAGCGTACAAGGCTTTAGCATTGTTGACGTCAACCATCATTGTTCTCTGACCTCTGACCTGGATGACACTTCACCAAAAGCGCTACGAGTAATGCATGCGCAAAATATGCGATTAAACGTAGAACAACGCAAACTATTTTTAGGTAAGGCGCCTATCTTGTTTGACGTCAGACCAGGATACCCCTCCGATCACGTGACTACATCTAAGTATAGCCAACCGCATGGCACCAAAGATGGAAGTGTCTATTATATCAAGCTACCTCTCGCTGTCGGAAGTTCTGATGGCCGAAGAGACAGCGCGTCTGCATTTGAAGTCATGCAATGATTTTATGAGCGGTTCGATCCTGGTCCTGGACCTTTTTTTTTTCTCATCTCCTCCTACCGACTGACCAACAGTTTGTCCCATATGATTTGCTGCTTTGTAGTTTGTTTTTTTGTTAATGTATATATATATTAGTGATGAAGAATGCAGGGGGGGGGAGAAGGGGTAAATCTAATCCTCCAGCGTCTTTACGGCAATTTTGGTGAGGTTTATTGTCTCTTTGCGTTTACCGTGCAATTTCAAGCATCAGCGTTCCTATTCTTACTGTTCTGAGCATCAACGATCTAGATCTAAGCGATCTTCCATCATGTCCAAGTACAAGATCTAGGAAATCTGAAATGTTACCGAAAACACGTCATTGCATGCGGTACCTCCACGGCCTTCTTTTAAAAAATAGTCTGTGAGTATCCCAGGAAGTGATGACATCACATTACTAAAATTAGCAGCCAATCAGAAAGATGCGTCTTCTACGTTTAAAGGCATGTATGCGCAAAGGCCATGTTGACGTTCTCTCTGTAAGGGCATGTGTGTGTCCCGGCCTAACTCCATAGAATTTATACATTATATGTACCCAATCGGAAACAAAAATGGAAGTCATGTTACACCCCCCCCCCCCCCCCCCCCAAAATGAGGTCTCTCCCCTCCTAAATCCACAAAAATAATGGTTTACAGTTTTTAGTTCCAAAATTGTTCTCTGCACTCGGTAAAAACGTTAAAATAGTGCCAAAAAATTGTCTGAAATGGGTTTGGACCTTTTCTTTAAATTTACTGTGGTGGCCTTTTCACCCTGGGAACTCTGTCAGCTATTTTACCTGACTTCCATTTTTGTTTCCAATTTTGTGTTAAAATTTCTATGGAGTTTGGCTGGGACCACTTCTCCCAAAGAGTGCCAGGATAGGGTAGGGGTAAGGGTAGGGTTAGGCTGTCCCCGGCATCTTATGCAAGAAAAATTCTGAAATTATGCAAAGTGAGGCAAAAAGTGAGAAATTATGCGACTGTTAATTTTAACAAAGAATTTAGAATGTTAATGGAAAATAAGCAGAAATTATGCAAAAAATGATCAAATTTTGTTAAATTATGCGGGTGCATAAAACCACGGGGACAGGTTAGGGGTTGGGTTAGGGTTAGGTTTCGTGTTTGTTGCTGTTGGGGTGGTCGCTCGTTACGGAAGTCCTTCCTGGAATCTAAATAGGCCTAATATTAGTGCGGTCAAAAATTTGTGGCGCATCTTATCCTCAAATGTATCTATAACCGGTGAATCGGTATCATCCACACTTTGCACAGCAGTTTGTATCGATTTGTCTTAACTTAAATCATATTTTTTCCAACAATTGAGGCTAGATTAAAAAACTTTTCTTTATGAATTTAACATTACTCTATAAATCTCCATCACACGGAAAATGGAAGTGTTCACAGCACTTCCCGCTTCTCACACACATTTTGCATATATGTTCACATGCCTACATCATAGCTCACCAATGACACTTTTTAGTGAAAAAACTTGTCTCAAGAAATTTGTAATTTTATTGTGAACACTTTTTTTGCTCAAAAGGTTCTAAAAACATAGGCCTACGTTCCATAAAGATCATGTCACGATTTTTTTAAAATGACGGACTTGCTTTTCAAAGTGATATATTGCCCCAGCTGTAAACCTTTTAAAATGTGCAGAAATCACCCACTTGGATTTTTTAGTGTTTATTTGGAAGTTTCTAGAATACAGCAAACAGGTGTACAAAAACATTGATCTGTCAAGACAAACTAACGCAATAATTGTGCAAAATCTGGAGAGTCTATTTTTGATAGTTTAGGAAATTTTGACAATAAGTTGTGTCGTGAATTTTTTACCACAATATAGTAAGTTATCATGCGTAGGCTATAGAATTGGCAGACTGATTTGATATTTATGTACGAAGTCACTTAATCGGACTCGTTTGAATAGCCTCCCGTAGCTATTCAGAGTCAAATTCCAATGCACGGATGTAATACAGGGTGCCTATTGGGGGATCGGGTCTGGTCGGGGCGGTTTGCTAGCCAGATTGAGGGCGCAAAGCGGCTACCGTGGCATATAAGCCGTTTGTGCCCGACTAGTCGACTCAAAAATAACGCGTTTGTTTTCAGGCGACGAGTGGGGCGATCGCCCCCGACCCGACCAGACCCGATCCCATCCCCAATGGGCACCCCGTATAACATTATCAGAGTATATATTTATGTATTGTAATGTCCTGATTTTATTTGAACATCATGTAAAGTATGTTGTTGGAAAAGCTTTTCCTTTCGACCACTCTTACTTTGAGTGACTGACTTTTATTCCCTTTGGAAGGGTTAAATAACTTTTCTCTTCTTAGTTTCTGATTGGACTTCCAACTGATCTATGATTTTGTCTTTCTCGTCAAATAAAACAGGTTTAGACTACCTATTGATAGAGTTATAATCCTTTGTTGTTCTGAAACTTTGATTTTCAATTTGTTTCAAGTCTGCTTTGAGCTCAGGTTGCCGTTTCCCTGTTTGCCTTTGTTGTGTAGTATTTCAGATTTTGCAACTGTTGTTCACTTTTGACGTCACTAATAGTAATACTTTTCTTAATTTGTGTAAAAAATTTTGGCCAGATCATAGTCATAGAAACCGAGGAAGGCCAAGGTCGAATTGCCTGTCCGCTTCACATCCGGTACACCTGTTGATTGTGCACGCGCTTTGGTAATTGGAGTTTTGAGTCCGAATAGCCACGGGAGGCTATTCAGACTCGAGTCCAAATAGCTGCTGCCATTTTTATAAGAACTTATAAGTTTATATTAACAAAGTCTGAGGAAATCCTATCAATAGTGACAATAATGGTTGAAAATATCACAATACTGAATATCATGTTTATATAACCAACTAATTGAAAGTAAAACTAAAATTATGACCTGTAATGTAGCAATCTGAGGAACCAACTAGGTCAGCTTGGTCGGTCTAACTCTCTACTCTAGAGACACTCTGGGAATTTAAACCTGGAAATCCAAAGTTTAAGCAGCCCAAATTGGAGGTCAAGGTTGTCTTTTTCTCAGGCGAATTGTGTTTAAGTTTCAACCCAACTTTCTCAGTCTTATGTGTTGTCTTGCTTTTTCTATACTGGATGATTGTGCCAGTGTTCTCCTGTTTACTCAGAACTAAACTTAAATATTGGCACACTTACCTTATTTATACACATGCCTGACTTTAAAAAAAAATCTGCTCAGCTGTCCAGACTGTACAAGTTAGAATGTACTCAACTTGAGAGAATCAGCAAATTGTGAAAAAATAATGCAATCAGTATTGTATAATTTGGTCAACTTGGATGGTGTGTATGCACAATGCCACTGCAGCTTCATTTTTATAAAGTATTTTTGTATTTCAAGCTTGAGTATTTTATATGATTCCCTTTTCCCTGTTTCAGAACTCTTCTCCACCATGTTGCTTCAGCTGAGGGAGGTCATATCATGGACTCGTATGTCGGCATTTGAACTTTTTCTACATCTTCTGAGTATTCTGATTTTCTCTGTGCTGGTGGCTGCTAAAGTAGAGGGAGATCTCTCAGCATCATGGCCAACAGTCTTCACACCGTTGTTTGTGTGTGATGGACTTAATACTTACCTTTGTCTCATCGTGTTTGTGAGGCTGTATTTAGAGTATGATCTCAAGCAGGTTTGTGATGTTCTTGATTGTTTTGTTCAGTGAAAAGTTAAGATTTGTATTTCCTCTCTATTTTTTTACTATATTTTTTAGAAAGTTAATTTTATGTCTCTTTTCAATATAGAGCCTCTGAGAGTACCTGAACCCCCCCCCCCCCCCCCTCCCTTTGAGCGGTGCCACTGACTGAAGTTCTGTCTTTAGGCCATTCCCAAAGGGGGGACATTTCTCGTTCTAATGCACAATAGAATTGTAAATGGGCTGACCCAACAATGCCTTGCTCATAACTGTGCCTGAACTACAACAGGGAACTGCTGCTTTTTCTTTCCTAATCCTTACTATCGTCATTTTCTAGTAGGACCTACTTCTTTTGTATGTTTGTCACATTCTTGTGACCCGCTATTTTCAGGGTGCTTTGATAGTCAAAGCAGATTTTTGTGCTGTTGAAGCTAGAGAGGTGAGCAGAGTAAGTTCGATTCCCCATTTGGACTTCTCTGTTGACATTCACCCCTTGGCGCTCATATGACCTTATGCAGTTGCGAGCGCCGTAAAACCTCTACTAAAACAAACATGAGAGTACCTGAAATGTGATGTGAGAAAAAAAAAATTAGAGGTAAATAAAATGAGGGGGGGGGGGGGGGGGGGGGGTTGGCTAATCTGTCTTGTATTACAGTGTGTACACAATTCACAATGTACGTCTTTGAATATTTTTGTATGTCTGTCACAATTCTTCGTTCTCTTAATCTTATGTTTTCTTTGTGTTCCACTGCATGTCAGCCTCACATGCCAAAGCATGAATACACCATAACTTTAATCTCTTTTGAACTTACTTTGCCGATGATTACCACTACAAAACTACAGTAAAACATGAATGGCTCGAGTTCAAGGGATACATGAATAGTGTTATGGCAACGGCTGTGTGAGAAAATCAAGGGAAGCAACAAATATTGGGTCGGAACAGAGATTTTTCTTTTTTCAGCCATTGTCCAAGATCAGATAGGTTAGATCTATGCCTATTGACTTGAATTTGAAATTTGAGAGAATTTGAAATTAACATATATTGAGAATGAGAAACACAATGAGCTACGGTTTAGAGCTAGATCGGTAATGAGCCTACCGGTACCAAGACAGTATAATTGCGTGGGTCAGCGTTGGTCTTTAGTCTGCTCCAATCCAATGGTGCCTTTTCAAATTTTTTAATACAGACAATTTGACGAGATAAGCATATGTTACAGCAGTAATCAACAACGCGATGACGAAACAATGCAGCCCTACACGCCTCTCCCACCAAGCGCGCTGTCCTTTGCAAAGAGGGATGGGGCGGCTGATCGTGTGATGGACAACCCCTCTTCTCGCCCACTCCACACAAGCCTAGCTAGGCCAGGACTTAGGCACACGCAGTGGGCACGCGTGTTGTCGTTGAGCAGTGCGCTAAAAATAGCACAGCTAGCTGGTTCTGTGGGGGGGGGCGAGGTGGTATTGTGTAGATTTCAGGCAATGTGGATAGATCTACAGTGATGTAGTGTGTCAAAAGCGAACACAATATATTGTGTACATACAAGGACTGTCCCACGGAAAACCGAAATTTCGTTGTAATTTGAAAACTATTCAATATTTTCACATTCTGTAAACAATACTTGTAAAACAATCATTGAGGAATTTCCTGATAGAGCACCATGAGCATCGCACAAACCAAACACACACAGCAATTCCCCAAAGATGGCTACCCCTTTGGAAAATTGGTCAAGGGTAGAAGTGAGGTCTGTCATTCAGTTTCTGACCGCAAAAGGTCTCAAACCCATAGAAATCTCACTGAAATAAAGTCAGTTTACAGAGAGAAAGTAATGGCAAAGTCACAGGTATATGAGTGGTGTAGAAAGTTCAAAGCCGGGCATATTATGTCAATGACAAAGTTCACCCAGGACCTTGTTTTTCTGCCAAGTCTGAGGACAACAAGAGTCGCGTTGACAAACTCATTCAAACAGACACGGTCCTAAAAATTGGCGAAATTTCCGAATCGCTAAACATTTCAAAGTCGACTGTCCTTAGGATAGTGTGTGATGAGCTGCACTGTCAAAAGGTCTCTACTTGATGGGTCCCAAAAGAGCTGACAGCTGACCACAAGACACAATGTGTTGAAGTGTCTCAGACTTTGTTGAATCGTTGTCTCCAAGCTGTCACGGGAGTCATGAACGCATCTTGAGACCTCCAACAATACGATGAAGCATTCCTGAGAAGCATTATTACAGATGATGAGACTTGGATACACCACTTGACCCCTGAGACGAAGAGGGATTCTATGGTTTGGAAGCACACGTCTTTACCTCCCCCGAAAAAGTTTAAAGTTCAGCCATCAGTGAAGAAACTCATGGCCACGCTTTTCGGGGATGCTAAGGGTGTTCTGCTTCTTGACATTCTGGAACCAGGACAAACTGTTAATGCTAACAGATACTGCCAGACTCTTGATAAGTTGAGAGAGGTTGTGCGCCGAAAAAGACTAGGCCGGTTGTCCAGCGGAGTTATTTTGCAGCATGACAACGCAACGCCACACACCGCAAACGCTACGAAAGACTGGATCCAAAGGTGGGGCAAGGAAGTTCTGCCACACCCCCCTCACAGTCCTGACTTGGCCATGCAGATTCTCACCTTTTTGGACCAATGAAACGCCATATTTCTGGACAGCGATTCACCAACGATGAAGACGTCGTGGAAGCCGTGAAAGATTGGTTGAAATCCCTTGACGAAAAATTTGTCATGGAGGGTATCTTCTCCCTGAATCAGCGATGGGAAAAATGCGTCCAGCGACATGGTGATTACATTGAGGAATAAAGCACATGTTGAAGTGTGATGTGTTACATTTTTATTATAATAGGACAAATATTGTTGCTTTTATTGACCTTTTCTGGTTTTCCATGGGACAACCCTCGTATCTTTGTAATTCAGCATCAAATTTCGCTCCTCGTGTGAATCTGACTAAATTTGATGCGCTGATTATGAAAATGCTATTATTTTTAGGCCTTGGTCAATATTTTTTTTAAATAATGGAATTAAATTGTTCAGTAGCCTAGAGAAACTTCAAAGGAACCTCGCCATCTAGCTCCCTGGCGTCGCCAGATATCAGCCCAATAACTTAAAAGCTGGTGAATTCCCCCAAGGCTTTTATTTTGTGAGGACTCACGCTGAAGTCTAAGTGACAGATCAAAGGAAGATACAGTATAACACGAACAGGCCAAACACAGAAGACTCGAAATTACGCATCCGTCGAACTGTGCCTGCGGTCCCGTTTTTTTCTTCTTCTTTATCTTTGTAAGGAGTTACACGAAGCTCGAACACACACGGCATAGGCAAATTAATTACGCCGACAGCAGAGGTCTAAAGTCAATGTTCTTTGAGGTGCACTTGAGACAAAATAATAATAATAATAATGATGATAATAATAATAATGATAATAATAATAATTTTAATTTAAAAATGGAAAAAGGCAAGGTCTGTTAAATACCACCCACCTCTCCACAGAAGCGGCTGGCTGTGCTGTTTCTAGAGCGTACCCAGAATATTTTTAAATCTTATGAAGTCCAAATATTTGTTCAAAGTTCTCAGACCAAAAAGCACAAGAACAGAAAGGGGAGTTACTGAGTAGAATTAAGTTGTAGCAACACCTGGATGCATGTTTTCTTGTGGTGAGCCTGAGCAGGGAAATTCAAAGTATGGTTACACTTGGTGTGTCAAGTCACATATTGATGATTATCCGCATCAATACTATCCTTTATAAAGATAAAGACAACAGTGGCTTTGTGAAACAGTAACATAAAATTTTTTTTTTAATTGCCATCCAATGGCAAACTGACTTTCATTTCAGTATTTCATATCATGTCTGTTAGAAAAATGTTTGACTTTTAGCTAGTTTTATATAAATGTTCTTTTCGACTTTATTTTAAATTTTACTTTCTTTTTCTTCAGGCTAGTATATTATGGCCACTGAAAATTGTCCTACTAATAACTTTGTCTTTAATTTTGCATTTCATTATTCCTGCAGGCAAGTCTACGAGTGGCCAACTCCCTGGTTGTGATAGCTTTGATTTTCACCTTCAAGCTCCTCTTGTGTCAGAAGCTGGCCACAGGGCACCTGAACTGCTCAGAAGTTTTTGGTCCTGTGTTTGTACTCTCACAAATCTTTTTGATCCGAGCTTGCAAACTTCAGTGAAAGCAACTTTACTTTACATTGACTGCTTTTAATTTAAACCAGTGTGCAATATACGACAGGGTTTTTATTGCCCTGTCCTGCAGTCTGTATCAGTGTCAAGGTGCAGTGTTGGTGTGCACGGAAACTTCAACTCCGTGGAGTCACTGGCCCAAAAGATGCTAAGCAGATGTCGTAGGCAAGTGCTTGGAGAATCTTGTTCTTCTTCCTCCTTGTTCTTCATGGCAACACCGGATATCTTCACTTCTACAGCATCCCATCAAAGAACCTCCCAGTTAAATTCACAGCTTGGTGCTCAGTCACTTTGGTTCTTGCTATAGCTATGTGACCACTCTTGGATTATCTTGTTGTATTGAGCATTCCACAAGCAGGAGATCTTAGATAGATTTAGAGAGTGGACATCTTTCATGAAATGAGAAAGGGGCAAGTTTTGAGTTGTGTTGAGTGGAACATTGTGAGGCCGTGAGAGTATTGGAAAATGTGTTTTGAATGTTTAGCTGTGAGTAGTGGATGATTGTTTTGGAAGGAGTACATTGCAGAGAAGGAATACATTGCATGAAAGGAATGCCATATCATTGACTGACTTTTCAAGGTGTCTTCTCTTTACCTGACCTTTGTTCTGATGCAAGTGTTTGTGAGCGATGTGACTGCGATACTTGAAATTAAAAACCGTGTGAATGTTCAGTTCTCATAAATGTTTTAAGAATGTTTGTGAGGCATTTGGTACTTAAAATCCAGGCAGATTTATGTTCATTGTACTGTAGAACATGACAATAGCGGCATCCGCAACAGCGGGACCTTATCGGAATGCCCTTTTTTATATTTCTATATATATGTAAATTAGATTACCAATGCTTGGGTTTAATGGGGCAAGGAAAGTCCCGAACTTGCATACAGCGGGAGAGAGTGAGCTCTAGCTTGGGGGAAGGGGGGTGGGGGGCTGTAGGTGGGCCCCAAACAGGCAGTCAGCGGTGCAGCGTTGTGATTGGCTAGTTCTGTGATGAGTGTGGTGGGGCAGGTGGCAGAGAGTGATGGTGCGGAGAGACGCGTTACATGATTCACTCCAAAAGGGATGTGCCATAGGCCTAGCCATAGCCCTAGGTTGGGCCAAAAAGAAGATGAGAGCGTGTGGTCTGTGATTCCTGATTCTTTGAATTGCAATCGTTAGTGCTCAGGCGTATAAATGCACGCATCTACTTCTCCAGTTCTACAGTAGGCCTACCGGTTCGATAGACAGCACAAGCAACAAGACTGAGGAAAAGATGGCTTCCAACAAAGACAAAAAGATATGCTTCTCACACGAATTAAAGGCCGAGATAATCAACGAAGTTGATGAGAAAAGGAAGACTAATCTAAAGTCTGAAGTGCAAATTTTATTGATATGGAAGGGAGGTAATCATGTGGATTTTAATAAATTTTTCTGTAATTCCCCTTTGCATTCCTGTAGCGGGAACTTGCCTACAGTGGGATTTTTCTTAGGTTCTGGAATCAAAAGTCCCGCTATCGCGATGTCTCTTCTTCTATCTTCTATCCCGTGGTTGGGGCAACCTTTGGGGCACCACTGCATTGGAAAACCAGCTCTCGCCATCTATTTTTGTCCTCTGCTCTCCTCAGATTGTCACCCATCGTCTTTCCTGTCCACTCTTTAATGTTGTCCTCCCATCTCCTTCTCTGCCTTCCTCTCTTTCTCTTTCCTTGTACGGTTTCTTGCAGGATTGTTTTGGCAAGTCCTGTGGATCTTGTGACATACCCATACCATTTTCGTTTTCGTCTTTTCACTGTGGTCAGTAGATCTTCATATTGTCCCACTGCGTTGGTGATTCTCTTTCGTACTTCGGCATTTGAAACTTGGTCTTTGTACGAGATGTCAAGGAGTCTGCGGTAACATTCATCTCTGTGATCTGAATCTTTTTCTCTAATTCTGCAGTTAGTGTCCACGACTCGCAAGCGTATAAAAATATTGAGATGACCAGTGAGCGCATTAGTCTAATTTTTTAGCGGTGCGTGATGTTTCTGTCCCTCCAAATAGGCTTCAGTTTTGACAGCGCCGTTGTTTGCGCGATTCTGGAGAGAATTTCTGGTCTTGAGCCTTCATCTGAGACGATGGATCCGAGGTATTTGAAGCTGTTGACGGTCTCAAGTTTCTCGCCCCTGACTTTGATGTCCGCATTGATGCCATTGGTGTTATTGGTCATTAGCTTGGTTTTCTCTGCACTGATCTCCATGCCGTAGGCGATGTACTGTACATGTATTGTTAAGTCTGCACTTCATGTCTCATTGTTGCAAAGAGTGGGCTCACGTGTAATCGATAAGACTGGATGTAAAATGTTATTTCAAATATAATGTTATGTAAGCTTACTTGAATTTGAATGATCATTAAAGTTTGTTTATTATTCTTATTATACTGAATACAGAGGATGTTATTTGTTAATAGATCCGGCTTTTATTTTCTGGTCAGAGGTCATGAGGAGGTTCTTCACCTCACAGTTTTACAGTGGTTGATTGACGGGTGCTCTGGTGTGGTTTGCTTCTACTTTACTATCTAACGTCTGTTTTCCTTACCTTTCTTTCTTTTCTTTGTTTGTTACTTTGTGATAATACCTCTAATCTGGGGCACTTGTATGCAAAGCATCGTGCTGAAATCAGGCGCTTGTCAAAATAATGAAACCAAACAAACCGTCATTTTTCTGCCTGTCGGGCAATTTTTATAGACTTTTTCTTTAGCTTAACACCCTTAATGTTCATCTGGAACACATTTAGTTTATGTGTGGGTTTTTCTGGAACACGTTGATAAAAGGCATCGAAAATATAAATTTGAAGTTTTCAAGGACTCTTGAGCTCTGGAATTCACCAAACTTTGGCAGCCATTTTTTTGTTATTTTTACCTCTGAAACCAGGATACCTCACTTCCTTCAATCGCAAATATCTGAACTTCTATTCAAGATACATGTAATATTTTTTTTAAAATCAAAAGCAAGGCAAATGAACAAACTTTAAGATAATACCAATAACTCCTTATGCCCAAAAATTGATGAGCACCTGATTCCATCGTTTCGTGACACATAATAATAATACGACTAATATGACCTTTGTGTTGCAAGTGCCATAAAACTCTTGTTCTTACAAAAACCAAAAACCAAAAAAAAGGCCTGGGAAATTAAACTGAATATTCTGTGTTTGCGTGCTGGGGTACTGTCTTAGTTCTTACTCAGCACAAGTTAATCCTGACAGACAGACAGGGTCGAAGCAATCCATCTCCTAAATTTGACTTCTCTCTAAATTGCATTGAAAGTAGTACATGTAGTAGTAAGGGCATAAAACCTTTCCATTACAATCGATCATTCTTACTAATGTATGTTGTAAAGAATAGTGTTTAGCTTGATGAAGAGATCTTTTATTATTTCAGCAGGTTATAGCTGAACCTGTTTTAACGGCTACTTGTTCAAGATAATCCTCCCTGTACAAATGACCTCTTCCTACTTCCCCCTTATGTTTTTTCTAATGTAAAGACACCGTACAAAATATAGTAAGATTGAGTAAGACTGACGAATTAGTGTAGTGTAACGGTTGAAATTAGGAGAGCAGGCTTTAACGTGGAACCCACAAGGAAAACATAAGAAGGGAAGACCAAAGATGACATGGAGGCGAGTGGTACAAGCGGAAATTGAAAAAGCGGGGACATCATGGAAACATATATCTATAGAAAAGGATGCTCAGGACAGGCTTCGCTGGAGTAATGCTTTGAATATTGATGGCCTGTGCTCCACTGGGAATTAAAAAGGGCAAGAGAGAGAGAGGCAGTGTCTGTGGTATAGTGATTACGCCTCTTGCCATTACATGCAAAAAAGTGTGAGTTCAGTTCCCATGCATGGAATTTTCTTTAGCTCCTCCGCTTTTCTACTGGATGCTGTATCCTTTTCAGTCCAAGTTATCTGTGACAGACAGGGTCAAAACTTCCCGACTCTTGATATTTAGATGCTGTTGATGGGAGCTTTCTTCAAATTAAACATACAAACCAAGATTCCAGAGGTCTTAGGTGTGTGTAACCCACAATAATCAGAGTTGGCATGCATGAACATGATAATAATAAATATTGCATGTACCGGTTTCAGTTGGAAGTAAAGAAGCAGCCCCCC